ACGGCTGTTGTACTACCTGCACCCGTTGTAACAAGGGTTGTAACTGGCGACGAAAGGACGTTTAAGCAGCCAACTGTGCCGTTCTGTCTATATAGGATGTTCCATGGGTCGTCAGATCCATTTGTTATATTGGCTTGAAAGCAAGATTGCACTTCCTGACCGGCACATCGCCTAGGTACCTAAGTTAGTATATTAGATAATATACTATCTAGTAGACATTACCAAACAATGTTTGCATCTCCGTTTGGTACCTGTGGTGGTATAGTCATTTCTAAGACAGATAGTTGTGGACAAATGCTATATTCAAAACTGAAGACAATGTCCGGGAAATCGTTGTTCGCAAACATCAGGGTCGCTTCGCAAGTGCTCTCAAGATTGATGCTTGACGCGCGTTAGAATCAATGGCTACAAGGAGGATTGATAGTACTTACACGGCGCTTACAGCGAAGCCGGCGGATATCTGGACAGGGGGATTCAGGAGACAAGGGTTATGCATAGCAGCCCGGGCGGCTAGCGCCATGTAAAAAACAAGAAATAGCCACATTTTGCGTCCTAGGATTGAGTTGGTTCCTATTCAAGCGCTGTTATTTGCCTATAACGTAGGACATTTATACCTCCTGGCCCAGAAGCAGAGATTGGAGACTGCTGTCTTGCTATCTGAAGTCAGATGTCAGAATTGAGATCAGCGCAAGGGAAAACGAGTATAAGGGAGGGCACGCCAGGCATCCCAGAGGCAGAAAGCGAAGACGACCTGGACCACGCGAGCGAGCTACACAGCATGGAGCCACTACAGATGTTTGAGAACCTGACAGAGGACTATATGACCTCCGGCTCAGGCTCTGCTCAGCACTCTGCCCAAATGCCTGCCCCAGTGATGGATTTTGGCTGTTCAACCTGCAAGAGGTAAGCGTCCCAGCTCAATTTTGACGACAGGATCTAACGGTGTAAGAAGCCTCGACAGCCTTGCTTTCAAAATAGATAACCTCTCTCTTAAGATCGAGACCTTGCTACATGAGTTGATTCGGAACTCGAGGTTGGAGCGTCGTCTTGATCGGCTGGATAGGGACCAGGAGAGAGATGGCCGGTTAGAGACAGTCAAGAAAGACATTACGCGGATTTCCGAAATTTCGGGTAAGATCCTGGAGTCTACAAATACTCTAGCAGCCGACTTGAAGAGTTTCTCTATGGACGTCACGCAAACGTTTCAGGGGCGCGATACAATCTAGATTAGTTATGTAATTTGGTACCTACATCCTAAGAAAGCTGCTAGCGGAATTGTGTACGTACCAGGATTCTTGACTTGGATTGTGAAGTCAATGAGGAATTGAAGGATTCCAAGTATAGTAGTCAGAATTACGTTTGAGATAAGACAGCATATTGTATCCGAGAAAGCCCGACGCCGAGAAAGCCTCATCCGCCGATATCCGCCCTGTGTGGTGGTGAAGTAGAAAGCGGAGCCGTTCCGCCCGCATCGGGGCTTGACACGGTAGATGTGGGGCCACGTACCGGATAGAACTGGTAGCTCCGCTATAAGAGCGGGGACTCCTTTCCATACACGAGGCTCGGAAGCGCTCAACTCATGTTCAGAGTATACAACCAAGGGACCCAGGAATTTGAGGCGAGCGGTGCTGTGATCAGGAAGCTTGAACACCAGCCGACCAGTCATCTCTTGTCACTATGCCAACCATTGTTGTACTTGGGCAAGTCCCCGGTACCGGAGTTGCGAGGACATGACTGACAGTTTGTTGAACGATAGCGCCGGCGTGAGCGGCCTGACTTGCGCGCTCGAGCTGGCCAAGCAGAAAGGAAATACCGTTACGGTGGTCGCGAAGCACATGCCTGGCGACTATGATATCGAGTACACATCGCCATGGGCCGGCGCAAACGTTCTACCGTAAGTGATCGTGGTCGGCGTTGACGGACTGGGCAGGCTGCGGCTTACACCGCCTCATAGGATGGCCCTTAGTGACAACAGCCGGTGGGAGAGGAGGACATGGCCTGTGTTGAGGCGACTCGCCGCAGAAGTACCCGAAGCCGGCCTTCACGTCCAGAGTCAGTATCGCCCTCTTCCGTTGTTTACCCCGTTGAGTTTGACACCGCCCTGACTACAAGCAGCTGCCCGCGTGCTCCGCCGTAAAAAGGATGTGGCGAAGGGGTTCAAGGCCGTCCTCGCGGATGGACTCTTCATGCTCGACCCGTGGTACAAGGAGCTCATGGATAACTTCCGCGAGCTTCCCGCCAGCGAGCTGCCAGAGGGCATGCACTCGGGCTGCGAGTTCACGTCGGTGTGCATCAACACGGCCATCTACCTCCCGTGGCTGGTTGGCCAGTGTGCCAGGCACGGCGTGCGGTTCAAACGGGCGGTCCTCAAACACATCTCGGAAGCCGCGAACATGAGCCACACGGGCCGTAAAGCCGACATCATCATCAACGCCTCGGGCCTGCTGGCCTGCAGGCTCGGCGGCGTCATGGACAAGACGGTGCACCCGGCGCGGGGGCAAATCGTCGTCGTGCGCAACGAAGCCAAGTCCATCATGCCCACAAGCAGCGGGTGCGACGATGGCGACGACGAAATTATGTACGTGATGCAGCGGGCCCTGGGCGGCGGGACCGTCCTGGGCGGGACCTACACAAAGGACAATTGGGACCCCAACCCGGACCCGAACATCGCCGTGCGCATCATGAAGCGTGCCGTGGAGGCGCACCCCGAGTTGACGGACGGCAAGGGAATCGAAGCGCTGAGCATCATTCGCCACGGCGTGGGGTTACGGCCGGTGCGTGAAGGCGGCGTGCGCATTGAGAAGGAGCTGATTGACGGGACCTGGGTGGTGCACAATTATGGCCATGCTGGTTGGGGATACCAGGGGAGCTATGGGTGCGCTGAGAGGGTAGTGGAGCTGGTTGATGAGATTGTTGGCAGGTCGAAACGGACCTCAAAGCTTTGACTCTGTGTATTGCGGTTAGAGAGTGCAAACACGACTATGATACATGACCTATATGACTCTTAGCCATCGGAACGAACTTGGGAACAAAGATATGATCGGGTGTTCTCCAGTGTCTGTTGGTCTATGACTTGGAACAGGTTGGAATGAAACTGTCGGCGCTGGGGTTAGGAGGTTAGCCCGTTAGGTAGAAGTTAGAACGGGCCACAGAAATGAGACACCTGTTGACACCTGTCAGGCAGCTATTGAGTAGGCTAACTTAACCGGGCGAGCTCCAACCTGAACGCGTCTTCTCAACACGACATCCGACGCGAGCACTAAAACGGAGGCAATGGCGGGCAATAACCCGCCAATTCATGTCCAGGCGGTCTCTCTTGCCTTCGATATTGCCAATGGACGCCATGCGCTTTCTAAACTCATCCCTCCGGCTCTGTTCCTGCTGGATGGGCTGCTGTGTGGCTTGATCATTTGGCGGGTGCCTTGTAAGCTTCCCGCTCGACCCCTGAGAACGAGAATGGCTAACTGACGCATTCCGACAAAGATACGGAAATCGACTGGGTCGCATATATGGAGCAGATATCCCAAATCGTAGCCGGCGAACGCGACTACACCAAAATCACCGGAGGCACCGGCCCTCTGGTCTATCCTGCCGCCCATGTCTACACCTACACCGGCTTGTACTACCTCACGGACGGGGGCAAAGATATCTTTCTGGCGCAACAGCTTTTTGCCGTGCTATACATGATGACTCTGGCGGTCGTCATGGCGTGTTATTTGCAAGCAAAGGTGCTCTCAGACCGTGACATACGCCAACATGGTCAATGGCCAAGCAGCTAACCGCTATGGCTCAATAGGTACCGCCGTACGTCTTCCCCCTCCTGATCCTCTCGAAACGGCTTCACAGTATCTTTGTCCTCCGGTGCTTCAACGATTGTTTTGCGGTCTTGTTCCTCTGGCTGGCCATCTTCTTCCTACAACGTCGCTCCTGGCGGCTGGGCGCGGTCATGTACACGTGGGGGCTAGGTATCAAGATGTCACTCCTGCTTGTCCTGCCGGCTGTAGGCATCATCCTGTTCCTTGGAAACGGCCTGGCAACAAGCCTGCAGCTTGCGGCAGTTATAGGGCTGGTACAAGTCCTTATCGGAATACCCTTCCTTGCCGCAAACCCCTGGGGATACCTAGGGCGTGCATTCGAGTTGTCCCGACAATTCTTCTTCAAATGGACGGTCAACTGGCGTTTCGTTGGAGAGGATGTGTTTCTTAGCAGGGGCTTCACTCTCGCTTTGCTAGGCCTACATATCGCCGCTTTGGTAGGCTTCATCACCACTCGGTGGCTCACGCCCACGCACCAACCCCTTTCTCGGCTCTTTGCCTCCATCTTGTCTGGACGCTCGCCGTTCACTGAGAAAGAACAGCGCTATATCTCTCGGAACATCACCCCTCGGTTCATCATGACAGCTATCCTCTCCTCCAACGTCATTGGCCTCCTCTTCGCTCGCTCCTTACACTACCAGTTCTACTCGTATCTGGCATGGTCAACACCGTTTCTCCTCTGGCGCAGCGGTATCCACCCCGTTCTTCAGTATGGTATCTGGGCCACCCAAGAATGGGCTTGGAACATATACCCTAGCACACCTCTCAGTTCTGGCGTCGTTGTCGGCGCGCTCGCTACGACGGTGATGCTCGTTTGGTGGGGCGGTCGAGAGGAGTGGGAGCTGAGGAGTGATGCCTCAAAGGGTAAGGCAGCAAAGCGGTAACCCGGAAGAAGACTCTGGAATTGGTCCATTCATATCAAGCCTCTTCCGCCTCTTCTTCGGAATCGCTCGGAGGCATCTTCCCGACAGTGGAATCCTCGTCTTCCTCGTCTCCGTATGTGTTCTTCACAAAGTTCTTTGGCCTGCACATTGACTATCAGCAATGCTGCTCTGGCTCGATGCAGAAAGAGCGCTTACCAGTATGGCTGCTTCCGCCACTCTTTCTCCTCCCTCACGACGTTGATGATCTCGCCCACGACCCTGCTACCGCTTTTGGCGCGCTCATCCGCAGATGCCAGATCCACCAGAACGTAGCCTCTCCGCTTGATGTAGATTGCGTTGCGAAACCGCGGCTCTAGCTCGACGAGGATGGGCTTCTTGTTGGGCAGCTCGCATGTGTAGATGCTGTTGCCCTCAGCCTTGACGACGCGGGCGATAAACTGGGATGGGCTTAGCTCGTCTGGAGGCGTCGTGGACTCCTGCGCAGCCGCGAGGACTGCAGAGCGTTTTGGTTTGCCCATGGTTGCCTTCTTTCTTTTATTCGTGGCAGTCGCGGAAGAAAATCGTCAACAGGGATACAGCGCCAGTTGATTTATGAGCTTTGGTGGGGTTGAACAGGCACCCCTCCAATCCAAACGCTGCGCTAAAGGTTTGGAGCGACCAACTGCCTACCTAGGGCGGGATTGACGTTCGATCCCGTCCCAAAAATGTCCGTTGTGTCTGTCGTCATCAGATTTTAAGCCGGCGTGCATTTTGCGGCTCGTTTGCGCCGGGGTCGAGGCCGGATCCTAGCTCATCTCAGGGCTGCCACTCCACAGCAGCAGCGACCCCGCCGTCAGGGTCCCCTAAAATCGGAACAGAACATGCCGAAAGGTGTGATAAACAGCCACGATCTACAGTCTGTCGAGCAGTGTTATTAGCCTTTCTCCGCCATCTCTTGGCTGGACCCTATATTTTGCCCTTGCGGTCAAGACGGGTTAAGGAACCACTTCAATCTGATATCTCCGTGCTGCTGCCCAATCTAAGGAGGTATCCAAGCACGAGCGCAAACCAGAGGGTATCAGTGAGCCCCTCTTTGCTTGCAGCGGAACGATCTCCCTCAGTCGCTTGTGGCCTTGAGCTAGGGAGGCAAATTTATATCATCCAGACTCTTTCTCTCAACACTTTGCTCAGTGGGAGGCTCTCGGACATATAATTACATTTAACGCCTCATTTCAATCTGAAAGACGGGCAGATGGGATCAACCATTGACCTTGCGCTTCCCGCGCTCAAGACGAAGCCCAAGTTCATTTTTTTCACCGATTTTGACGGCACCATCACACAGCAGGACAGCAATGACTTCATGACGGACAACCTTGGCTTCGGCCAGGCCCTCCGCAAGAAGGGCAACGAGGATGTGCTCTTCGGCCGCCGCACTTTCCGGGACTCGTTCCGGGACATGCTCGACAGCATCAACACTCCGTTCGACCAGTGCATCGAGATCCTGCTCAAGAACATCACGCTCGACCCAGGGTTCAAGGAGTTCTTTGAGTGGGCGCGCGAAAACAACATGCCCATCGTGGTGTTGAGCGGCGGCATGGAGCCCATTATTCGCGCATTGCTGGCGCACATGCTCGGCAAGGAGGCTGCCGATACGTTGCAGATCGTGAGCAATGACGTTGCGCCGAGGGAGGGTAAGAGCATCAATGAGGAAGGCGGGTGGCAGATTGTATACCATGATGACAGGTACGTCAGTTGTTCCCCATCGTGGCCAATGAAAGGTTGAGGCTGACAAGAAGGCTGGTAGTGGGTTTGGCCATGACAAGTCACTTGAGATTCGCCCTTACGCCAGACTCCCCGCGGAGCAACGACCGACCCTCTTTTATGCTGGAGACGGGGTGTCCGACCTGTCGGCGGCCAAGGAGACTGACTTGCTGTTTGCAAAGGCTGGCCGTGGTATGTCGGGAGAGTTCCTTAGATTTTGGGGTTGACACTGACAGTTGGACTAGATCTGGTAACGTACTGTGAAAAGGAGCGGGTGCCGTTCAAAACATTTCAGAACTTTTCAGACATCCTAGCCACGGTCAAGGAGATTGTGGCTGGTCGAATCACCGTCAAGCAGGCTGCCACTGGAAGGGACTGAGCGTGATCTCTTCAACCGGGTGGTGAGCTTTCACTTGGATACATATCTTACCATATAGACGTATAGATTACTAGACCTTTCTTCCGCACTTAGAGCCTTTATACATGACCACGCTAGAATATAGCACAATATTTCCTATCCCAAGGTGATCTGAACATCAGTTTGACGAGCTAAGGCGGGGCAATTCGCTGGCTTGTCCTGCCGCCGACAAGGTACGATGCCAACAGAGGAGCATAACAATGATGGTCCCAGCTGAAATCAGTTGTAGTGCGAGTGGACTAATCCAGTCCTCAACCGAGCCGGCGAGAAGCAGGGCCGTTGCCAGGCCCGAGTTCGCAAACCCGGTAATGATGCCCACTCCGCTCACCCGTTCACGCTCGCTCAGGTTTTGCAGGAAACCCGCCAACGCACAGGGGTATACCGGGGCCAGCAGAAGACCAGTAAATACCGCTACCGGCACCGCATACTCCGTGTCATTCAGCACGAGCCAGACCAAGCCGTGAGCAATGGAAACAAGCACTAGAGCGCCTGTCACGATTCGCCTTTCGCCAAGCCGTGGTCCGAATAGGAAGAGGACCAGCTGGCCAAGGGCAAGACTCCCCTGGAAGCTCAGCGTTGTGTGTATGCTGCCAAGCGGGTTTCGGTCCCTGGAGTGGCCGACAACCGAGACGGCCCAGACGGGGATGATAACTGTTCCCGCCTGATAGGCGAAAGCAAAAAGGGCACCGAGGATGGTTGTGCGGCTTGCGGGCGGTGGAAAGCCGTGTGAATCCTTACAGACGGTTGGCATCATGAATCTGGTGTGCTCCCGGATCTCCAAGCCTCCGAATTTTGTTCCCGCCAAGGAGCGACCCGCTTCCTCTTCCCCCTCGTCGCCTCCGCCGTCATCGCCGCTCTGCCCTTTTGGTGGTCTGAAGGCGAACCTCAAAACACACGCGTCGATTACCCCCAAGACGAGCGTACCGATCTGGAGGCGATGTGCGTTTCTCCCGTCTGCGGCCGACCCTTTCTCCACCATCCCCATCCATAGTATCTCCATGTCCGGCCCAGTCAACAACAAACCCACCGCGATCCCCAGCCCAAAAATCCCATGTACAGCCCCAAGCGCGGCAGCAGCAGTCGTCCGATCACCGCGGAGCCCGGTACACAAGAGATTGGCCACCGTCATGCCAAGGCAGCTGGTGAACCCGCGAAGATGGGCAGAGAGGACGGTAATGAGCGTGTTGAATGGCGCCGCCGTTTCTTTTCCCGGCAGGAGCAGAACGCTCGTCACGGCAACGGTGTCTAATAGTAGTGCTAGTAGGTTTGGGGCCACCGCCAGAACGGGCAGGATGGTCTGTAACGGGATGGATTGGAGGACTGGTTCTGCCAAGGCTGCCGCCATGATGCTTCCCAGAATGAAGGAGGTGCTCGTCCCGAGGAGGGATACATGGCTGGTTGTTGGTTTAGTAGCGGTTTTCTCGTCATGTGGAAGGGCTCGCGAAGAGAGGGAGGATGTACATCTCTAATGGAGGCGAAAGGGGTATCAACCTCGATGAAGAGACCTCGGCCAGGCCAGTTGTGAAGGCTAGAAGGCAGATTGCAGACATCTGGAGATTCGTGGGAGGGCGGAAGTTGCTGCGGCAGAGCACCGTTGAGTTCGCTCGCTGCTGCGGTGGTTTGGGAGGTGAGTCCAAGTCGTGTGGCTGGTTGGCTGTCATCTTGTCTTCTGCTATAGATGAGAGATACGGAATGCTGATTTGGCAGGGCGAAGCTGTAGACTGGGAAGCGGCAACACGAGGTTTGATGTTTGGAAAGCGCGTTCCAAAGCCCTGGGCCATGGACTCGGACCCCTGAGCCGAAGAAAAGAATGGTGGGTTGATAGGCAACGCTTGTGTCGAACCTGCTAGCAGTCGTTATGAAACGTGAAGAACCAGAAGAAAGTCAGAGCAAAAGGGCCATGACAAGGGTTATTGCGACCAGAGACTGCTTAGTTTTACCATACAATACCTACCTGGTATGTATGTATGTACAAGACGTATAAACGGGCCGATGTCCGACGAGCTGCCCCGTGTCTACCTAGCTGTTCGTCAGATGAATGTCGGGTACGATCCTGTAGCCCAGACCGCCTACCTACCTATGCTGCGAAGCGCCCCAAGCAGATGGCACGTAGCTTGCGCTGGCGAGCGCACTTGTTCCGCTGGTGGGGCATTCTTGCTTTTTGGATACGGGCCGAATGAAGAGACTCCGCTTAGATAGCTACAGGGCCGCTACCGTAACTGCACGTTCTGGTCTCCGAAAACCTCGTGGTCGAGCGGAGGCTGCACGGCGTCACGGCCTTGGCGGCGGAGTTGCTCTTCTGGGATGCCCCTAGGCATGGGAGTCATCGCGATACACAAACGACATGTTGAATAATTCTGGTCCTTGAAGTTCGATCTAGGCGGCGAATGCAATGGTCCTCTAGTGTACCGTATTATTATGCTTACGGCAGCTAACCGTCGAAGGCAATGCCAGCCCAGGCCCAGGAGACATCGCAATGACATTTTAATATACTGGGGTATGGAGGTAGATGATAAGGGCATGGGCTGTGGAATTAATGTATACTTAGCATCTCCTTGGAGTCGAAGATTTGTTGTGGCCACCACAAATGCTTGATGCTGTACCCAGTGACGGAATGCTGGGATCGGAACGGGGGTTTTTGGTGTTTTGTACTTGAGGTTGGAGAAGAGGGAGAGAGGAAAGGGGGAGGAGGAAAGGAGGGTAAAGTCGGGTTAGGGTTATGGCGCAGATTCCAGGCGGTGAGATGTGCCGGCGGCAGAACGGAAAAGCGGTCGACTTCGGAGCGCTCAATTCCCGAACTTCACGTCCCGCCGAACCGCAAGGTCCAAGTGCGCCAAACACGCTACCTCGGGGCCGCAAGCCCAATGTCCCCTCATACGGCTTTGCGGCTAGCTGCGCGCCCTCTACGAGGAGTACGAGGAGCAACAATTCTCGATCGGTTGGACATATTGCTATCGAAAGGGCCAGCAAATACCTTAATTACTTTGACGAGACGGACGAGTACGAGTCACCTACCGATATGCATCCGCTGTAGCATCATTCTGCGCCGGCCCGAGGGTCGCGCCCGTCTGTTTTCCACCGCTCCTAGGCCGCCCAAAGAACCCAGCAGCACCCTCGGCAGCAGCCCTGAGACAGCAACCACACCAGACGACACCGCTTCCGCATCAGCATCACCCGTATCGCCAACCCCGCAAGAGCCCGAGCCCTCTACTTCCCCCTCCTCCTCCTCCTCCTCAACATCCTCAGAATCATCCCCGCCTCCCTCTCCAGAAAAGAACAATTCTTCCACAGACCGCTCCCTGCCCTCCTTCACCGAGAACCACCGGCACCCCTGGTCAGCACGCTTCAGCACCTTCATGGACAACCTCCAATCGCGGGCGCTTACAGCAACGCAAACCATCAACGACCTGACGGGCTACTCAGCGATCGAGGCCATCAAGCGGCGGAATGGTGAGCTCGAAGTCGAACTGGCAGCCGCACAGCAGCGGCTGCGCTCTGCGCGGCACAACTACAAGTCTCTCACGTCCCACCGCGCCGCCACGCAGCGCGAGGTGACGACACTGCTTGCGCGCAAGGATACGTGGACTCCCGCCGACCTGGAGCGCTTTACGACGCTGTACCGGATGGACCACGAGCTGGAGGCACAGGTGGCGGGCGCCGCGGCGGAGCTGACCGAGGCCGAGACGGACGAGGCGCGCCTCAGCAACGAGCTCAACGCGGGGATACTCAAGCGGTACCACGAGGAGCAGATCTGGAGCGACCGCATCCGCCGCCAGTCGACATGGGGCACCTGGGGCCTGATGGGCGTCAACGTGGTGCTGTTCCTGGTGCTGCAGTTTGTGGCCGAGCCGTGGAAGCGGAAGCGGCTTGTGCGGGGCATCGCCGAGAGCGAGCAGGGGTTCTTGGACGAGGTGAGGAGGGAGCTGGCAGAGGTCAAGGCCGTGCTGGAGGCGAGCGGGCTGAAACAGCAATTGGCGAATGATGCAGCGGCGGAGAAGCAGAGAGGGGAGGAGGAGAGGACTGGGGTAGCGGACGCGGACATTTCCATCGCCGCGACACCGGCGGAGCTTGAAGTTATTGCGTCCGAGGAGCAAGGGCCTAGGAAGTCATGGAGGGAGTACTGGTCTGATCCTGCCTTGGTTACTGCCGCACTCCGGGATCTGTACAGCGATCGGAGGGCAGATCTGCGTATGCGGGATGTCTCCGTCATTGCGCTCGAGAGCGCCGTAGCAAGCGCTACCGTTGTTGCAACGATCGCTTTCGCCGTGCTACGAAACAGCAGGTCATGACCTCTCTCATCCACCCGGCATATTGTGCTACAACTCGCTTGTAGACCTAGTGTATATTATTGTAGAGGGAATAGACCTGTTTATAATGTTCTTTACCCTACCATGGACGTAAGTCCTTGCATGATGTAAATATTTCTAATCCAAGGCCGTATAACCGAAGGAGCTGGGGACAGTGGCAGATGGAGCACACCTTTTCTGTTCCTCTGTTTTCTCTGCCCCGTCAAAGAAACAGCAATAGAGTAAGTATAGCTGCAAGGAATACCAGTATAAAAACATGCATCGTTCCACAGCAGGTCTCTGTGGCGCTCAACAACCGCTAAGGACCCAAAAACTAGACCCAATGCCACCTCTTACCCCTGAACCTCTCCCTCTGATGACCTCCTCCGCGCAATCACCATTACCAACCCACCCACCCCTCTAGCATAATCATCATCACAAGATCTGCATCTATCGTCATCAATCATCTATCCGCCAAGTCATATCCCCAGAGGCAATCTCGTGCAATGCCCGTATATCTCCACCCCGCCGCCATTAAGATTCGCCATCCCAGAACAGGCAGCCGGACGTAAGGAGGAAGTCCTGCCCCTTGTGGGGTGTAGGTCAGGAGCAAACCATGACTGAGTCCGTATTAATTTACCGGCACTTCCTCGAGTCGATCCTCAACGAGTTTGGGGGGCGGCAAAGACCGGGAAACATGGGATTTCACTGATTGTATGTGGCTCGTTAAACAGCTGAGTATATCCGGTATCCCCCTACTCGAAATCCGCAGTATAGGAGAACCCGCGGAACTCTTCTTGCATGGCTTGTGACAAAACTATTCGATCCCGTATTAGCATATTCTTCATAGACACCATTATCCACACTCTCAAGCCTAGTAGAGAACATACCTGACTGCACCGGAGTGAGCACCGGCGTAACGCTCGTGAACTCGCTGTCAAAATTACTCGTGTCCGTCGCGCTTTTGATGGTGGGCAAGAACGGCGGCTCGACCCGCTTGTGGTAGATGTCATCCCAATTGATGTTGCGGAAGAAGGGCTGCGACATGACCTCCTGCGCGTCCGTGGGCCCGCTACCCAGCCGCTGATCTGGCTCGCGCGTGAGTAGCTTCTGTAGTATGGACACGCTGTCGCGCGGCATGTGAATCGGGTAGAGCGGCTCGTCGGCCAGAATGGCGTCGTAGATCTCATCCTCATCTTCACCGCGGAAGGGTGACTGCTGCAGGAGCATCTGGTAGATCAGCACTCCAAACGCCCACCAGTCAACAGCACGGCCATATTTCTTGTCGAGAAGGATCTGCACCTGCCGTTAGCAACAGTACTTCACATAAGGCAAACCTAGAACGGAGAAATATACCTCGGGCGCCATGAATTCAGGAGTGCCGCAGAACGTGCTCGTCGTCGAGCCGTACCACATGTCTTCCTTGCAGAGACCATAATCGGCAATCTTGATGTGCCCGTCGAGTGTAAGCAAAATATTGTCCAGCTTGAGATCACGGTAGATGACGCCGTTTTCGTGGAAGTACTTGAGTGCCAAGCAGACCTCGGCAGCGTAGAATCTTGACTAAATTAGCTGATCGCCCATCTTCAAAACATCGCCAAAACTTACTGCGCCCGCTTCAGGCCGAACTGGCCGCGCTGGATGTGGAGCATCAAGTCGCCGCCGCTGATATACTCCATGACAAAATAGACCCTGGTCTCAGTCTGGAAACAAGCATGCAGGTTGGTCAAGAAAGGATGCCGTTCGCGGTTGGCAATCAGGAAGACGCGCTTCTCAGACCTGATGCTCTCAACCTCGTCATTTTCAATAATGAACTCCTTCTTGAGCACCTTGATCGCGTAGAGCTTCCGGGTTCGCTTCGTCTCAGCGAGCATGACTTTGCCAAAGTTGCCCTTACCAAGGACAGCAAGGAAGTTAAAGTGGTCGAGGCCGATCCGCTGACCCGTACCCGCGTCTGTCGCCGACGGCAAAGGCTTCTTCGCCGGCACCGGGATCCCACCTGCAGTGGGAACTTGCGCCTCGGCATGAGCCGGTACGGGTTGCGACTTGGGTCCAGGGGGCGCCTGCTGTTGCTGGTACATCTGCTGGTGCACGAGTTGCTGTGCGGGCCCCTGCTGCTGCTGCATGGGACGCTGTTGGACAGGTGGTTGACCTGGGTAAGCGCCAATGTTGGCGTAGTCCGCCGGGTTATATTTACGCTGCTGGGGTTGGCCGTACGGCTGCTGCGACGGCGGTTGTGATGCGCCATACAGGTCGTCTTGCTGAGACGGCCGTCCATAACCGCCAGGAGCACCGTAGTGCCCAGGCCCGAAATCGGGAATCTGACCAGCGGCCGGCTGCGCTTGCACATTGGCCTTTGGAGACATGGCGGCAGCGGCAGCGGCAGCAGCAGATGCGGTGGTAGAACTGGTTGATGTCCGGTCAGGCCCAGGAGGTCTCTGTGGCGAGGCCTGGTTGTACATGAGCTTTGCTGCTTCGGTCGCCTCTGGAGAGGCCACCTGGGGACCGTACGCAGCCGGTGGGTATGTCGCCGCGGATTGCGCGCTACTTGTTGTTCCTTTGCTGCCCGCTCGCAGCGTGCGCTCGCTCATAGACGAAGCCTTTTCTTGGCGAGTTCGTTTGGTGGATCGGATTCCTTCCAGGATCTGATTTGCGACGGCCATGGACATGCCGCAGAAATCGGGAACAAGATGAACGCATTGTGCGTGAGCAGTGAGACCGCATTCTGTTGGGCATGTCAGCGTCTATTACGGGATGCGGATAAGGAGAGCCCAGGAGATACATACCCACGCATTTTCTACAGTTCTTCTTAGACCCAATCGTGAGCATATAGCCGCAGTGGCAGCACCAGTTGGCTGTAAGGTTTGAAAAAGGCTGGAAACGGTGGGGAATACGGTGGTTGATCTTCTCCTCGTCCGGGTCGGTCTCCGAGTTGCTCTTGGAAATGCATTTTGTGACGACGCTGGTGTAGCACTTGGTATGGCATGTGTACTTGCAATCGTCGCACTGCATGCCTGCCGAGTATTTGAGGAAGTCCCCGCAGAGGGCACAGCGCATAATGTTGTAGAACTGGCGTGAGACAAACTTGTGGCCGTACATCTCGTGAACCTCTTCCTTGCGCTGACGGACAGCACCCTTACGGTTGAGACCAGCATCCATCGGTCGCGGTTCCTTGTTCTCCTTGACAAAGTTGAGGCTCAGTTGGATCTGGCCTGTCGGCTCGAGGTTGAACCAAGCATCAATCGGCTGTGACACAATTGGGGGGTGTGCCGGAGGCGGATTGTACATCTGTCCTTGCTGCGGCGGCACCGGAGACGTGGGCGGGCCTGCAAACTGTGGGCTCTGGGGGCCCATCGGAAACTGCGGTGGAGGGATCCTGGGATTGGCGCCTAGACGGTCCGCCGACACCCAACCAGTCGTGTTTGTCTCGGCCTCGATCCTCTTGCGACGGAGCTCTTCAGCAATGTCAGATATCCTCACCCAGAGCAAGCCGATAGGCAGGGCATGCTCGCCCGGCTTATCGTAGACTGTCAACTCGATCTCGTTCGCCTTCTCGACAAAGATGTTGTGAAACTCGGCTTCCCATCTGTCGTTTCGCGTCGCCCTCGTTCGAGCCATGACTTGGTCCTCCACCTTGATGGCCACAAACGTCTCTGGCGCGCGTGAGAACCGACTGAGAGGGGCATGGTCCACGTCTTTGACGGCCAGGATACGAATTGAGAGCTGACCCGTCAGGGGCTTTCTCAGGTTTGGCATATTGATGCTGTCATCTGCAATGGTAGAGTCAGCAGGCCTCCCGAGATTAGCATTGCCATCTGCGCATACCGTCCGGTGAATCGGCATCCATATCAATATGTAGCTCTTCGTATCGCTTGAGTGCTTGCTTCAGGAGAACAATCTTCTGGCCGCTCTCAATGCGCCTAGCTGCGGCCTCAGCTTTGTTCTTCTTGTCGCCCTCCATTTGATACAGCTGTAACATCTTGTCTATGCCTTTCAGATATTGTTCCTCAACATTTAGCTTGAACTGAATCTGCGAGAGCATTAGTTGAATCCGGGGCCCGAGGTATGGAGTATCGAATTTGATAAGATCTGTCAAGGCAGGATGTTAGCGTGAGGAGACGCGGTTACGGCCGTGTCGGGGTATCCCACCCAGCTTGGTGAAGTTTGGCCGTGCCTTGGGCATCGAGGAGTGCGGCGGTTGGCCCGGGAATGGCCTAGGAGGCATCAGGTCGCCTTGGTGGTACTGGCCGTATCCCGACGCGTCCTTTGGAGGTGGTGCCGGGGCAGCGCCGGTATCAAGGCCCTGCTCCGTCTTGAAAGAACTGATCGTCGTTCCGCCCAGCGACATGGTCTCAACTGACTGCCCCAGGCGGCGCATCTGCAGCTCGCGGAGCCTCTCCTCGAAGAACTCGAGGTTGCGGCGCCCCTCGCGCATCTGGGTATCGAGCTTGGAGCGGACGGCTTCATTGCCGGTCTGCTGGCGCATAAGATTCGCAGCATTGATCAAAGCCTTTTCCCGCTCAATTTTCCTGGAGATGTCCAGGACCTTCTCGTCGTCGTTCATGTTGGCCGTGGTTTTCTGCGCGGCGGGGCGCCCAGGGAGAAAAGGTGGGGTTCTAGAGAATGTCGCAGACGATCTGGTGTTCAGTCGAATTAGTTTGCTATAACGTTAAATCTTTTGCTCGGGTCGAGTCCGCTCGCGTGAGGGCCTGGAAAATATCCTAAACGTGGACCCTGCGGCAAAGCGGCAAGCAGGCGATGGTGGTGTTGAAGTTGGGTTGCAGATGTCGTCAGTGACGAATTGCTTATGGCGGGGTTTTTGTGTTTCGGATCCGACAGCAGTTCTTGTTGCGGTTTGTTCTGGGTCAGACCGAGCCACTATACCTTGGTCTTCGGTACTAATTAGCGTTTTCCGGCTCTGTGGTGGAGGCCACACTGATGAATGCCATTCCAGGAACTGGTCAACGGGAAATGGGACGACCAAGAGGAATCCCAGCTCAGCCTGAAGGTGTGCTGGCAACGAGGCTAGGTAAGGTAATGTATATACAGTGCATACATAGCTAACCAATAAAACCACTACTGTCCTGGACAATAGTATTTCCCTAAACAAATCGCAGGTCGCAAAACTGCGCCTTCTCATGGCTGTATTCGTGTCGATGGAGTCCAGGTTCTGTCGCCTTTTTGGGCCAGCCGATAATCTTCGTTGGTTGCGGGGTAGTATATGAAAGTACGAACGTAACGTTACCGTACGTTAATTACGTTGTATGTACGATGCTTAGATCGATTCTTATAACTGAGGCTTTGCTTCAACACTCTTAGATTCAAGTCTCGCATAATTACCTTTTGCCACGGATACAAGGGTATTGTCAAACCAAGCGTTGAGGTAGAGATGAACTCCGTATCATAATAATTAGATAACGGCATTCTACTAAAGACGTTACATAGGTAGCGAAAGTCAGGTAGGTAATTACAACGGTTGCACGTAGGACTGCTCGTAGGACTTTCCCTGAAAGGGCCAACTGTCGTCCGGCGAAACTGCTATTCGGGGAGAGCAATCTGCTATTCGGGGAGCGGTGGGTCCGACCTTGTGGCGCAGCGCATAGCCCACGCTCTTCTCTCACACCTGTTTTTGCAGGCAAGAAGAGCAAGCCATATAACCATACGCATCTAATATGCTCCGTATTTGCTATTCCATATAGTAATATACGACAATTGGATAAAGCTATTTGTAGTTACATAATGAGTGTATCCTGCCGTTGTTGTGGTGCTGAAGATCCCTCGCCTTAGGTAACCCTAACCCTACTGTATACAAGTTGCACTCATCCTGCGCAAGGTCGACGATGGCTCCAACCCGACTGGATTCTACTTCATCCTGTATCTCGCAGAGTCGGCGATAGCTTAAGTCCGCCTGTTAAATGTAGCTGTAGGTTTCCGTATAGAGTAATCGAATGGCGATAACTTTAGTCAATTGTAGTATGTACATAGATTCAATCAAGTTGAGTATGCAAGGTGGCTTGAGGTTGAGGTTGAGCCACGAAATCGGACCCACCGCTCCCCGAATAGCAGATTTGCTCTCCCCGAATAGCAGATTTGCTCTCCCCGAATAGCAGATTTGCTCTCCCCGAATAGCAGATTTGCTCTCCCCGAATAGCAGTTTCGGTCGTCCGGTTCTCGTTCAGGAGCGTCTCAGTTCCTGGCAACTTTTGCATCGTCTATGTGTGTCTCGAATAGTCTACCTCCGTACTGCTAGTCCTAATACTTCTACATATACCCAGGCATGGTGGTCTCCCATTTTAGCAAGTCTAATACCGGATGATGGAGATTATAATGCCTTAGCATACGAAAAACACCATCGTACAGAGCTACGAGCAAAGAAGCTGCGCTATAAAGACTCCTGGTCGAGCAAAACGTTCTCCAAATGATTCGCCCCAATCTAAGCCATCCATACCCAAGTTACGGAGAGCTAGTTTGCTTTCTCACCCCATGGCCATAGGCCTGAATTCAGGCCGCTTGCCCGGCATCATATGTATCTAGAGCATTTCAGCCAAGACAACGTCCCTGAGATTCATTCAAATATCTCGGATTATATATGCTCTGAGCCTGTCAGACGGAAACCGCCAGTGGCGTGCTGGGACCCGACAGTGTCGGTCTTGCCGGTAGCTTAGGACATGGCGGACCTTCAATTCATTTTCCGAGCAGCTGGGCATTATTCGTATAATTTGAAGAGCCGCCTGCATAGAGTCGAATTGTCGGATATGATTATACAGTGTACTCCTTTTGGAGAAGTTTTGCAATCGTGTTGAGCCTTGAATCTCGTCAGCTTAGATCCCGTAGCATGTTCATTGGCAGGCATTGTGGGTGTCTTACTGGATATTGCTTGTCCCCTCGTAGATAGCACCAATCTTGCTATCGCGGAAGAACTTCTCGGCTAGGCCCTCCCGGACAAAGCCCATACCTCCCATCCACTCAACAGCCAGACTGCTTACACGCCCTGCAACCTGCGAGGCGTACAGCTTGGCCATGGCGGCATCCTTGACAAAGTCCTCACCGGCCTCTTTCTTGCGGGCGGCGTTGTAGACAAGCGCGCGGGCCGCGGCGATCTCCGTGTAGGACTGCGCGATCTGGTGCTGCATGCCCTGAAACTCGCCAACCAGTTGGCCAAACTGCTTGCGATCGTTCCACACGTACTTGACGGCGTTTTCCCAGGCGCCCAGAGCGAGCCCGGTCATCTGCGCACCGATGCCAATGCGGCCTTCGTTGAGCAGGGCAATGGCGTACTTATAGCCCTGGCCCCTCTCGCCAAGCAGGTTCTCCTTGGGCACCTCGACGTCATCAAAGTTGAGCACGCACGTGCTGCTCGCCTTGATTCCCAACTTCTTCTCCTTCTTTGCGATGCTAAACCCCTTCATGCCCTTGTCGACCACGAAGGCCGTGATACCGCGGTAGCCCTTGCTGGGGTCGAGGTTGGCGAAGACAATGAAGAACTCAGCCTCCATGCTGTTTGTGATCCACATCTTGCTGCCGGTGATCTTGAAGCCATTATCCGTCTCGGTAGCCTTGGTCGCCAGAGCGAAAGCATCGGAGCCACTTACGGGCTCAGATAAACAGAAAGAGCCCACGGTGCTTGTTGCCAGCCGGGGTAGATACTTTTTTTTGAGCGCCTGGCTGCCCCACTTAAGCACAGCCGTGTTGACGAGGGTGTTGTGGACGTCCACCATGACTGACACGGAAGGATCGACTCGGGCGAGTTCCTCAATTCCGACAATGGCAGCTGTGAAGTTCATGCCGGCGCCCCCGTACTCTTCGGGAATCTCGATGCCCATCAAGCCTTGCTCAAATAATTGCTCCACTACCGCCGGATCCATAGCCTCTGCCTCATCCATCTCCCGCACCTTGGGCAGGATCACGTCGTTGGCGAACTTCTGCACCGTCTCGGCCATAGCAGTCTCGACCTCGGAGAAGTGGGTAATGGGAGTAGGCGCAACATCGGCTAGACTAGGATCCTGTCTCGGTGAGGTTGCTGAAAGATGGCGGGTACTGTGAAGCAGCAAGGAGGTACATTGTCAGAAAGTATCCTATTGTGAATAGGAAAGTGTGATACTCACATTTGGAAGGGGGCAGCAATGGACTGCACCCTGCTGCTAGATATCCTAGGCGCGGAGACTGCCTGGCTTCTTCGCACCGCCGGACGCAGTGCTCTAACGAACGATCTCATGGTGAAGATGTGTAAAAGCGAAAGATGGAGGGCGACTAAGGTTGGATCGAGCGTTTTGATGGTGGTATCGTCACACGAGACTGAACAATGCTTTCTACACGGTCCCTGGAGGGACAGGATGACACGATGTTAGGTGCATTCCCCGGGCTATCTAGGACTTATACGTCCAAGGATAGGGCAAAGGAGCTAAGCCGAGGTTACCTGCGGTATCGTTGGAGAGCCGCTCCCCACACCGCACCCCTTGCCAATGATGCAAGAGGCAACGGGGCCATGTGACTGTGCATTGGCCAGGTGCTCGGCTAAGCTCCGCTAAACCGACAATTGCCGAGTATCACGTGCACTTTCTCGTGATCTCAAAAGTTCGGCAGCCAACTTAGGTTATCACGATTGCAGTTACTTCGTATCGAAGGCGTCGACTTGGTACCCGTCGCGCCAACACCACCACAACCACATCATGGCGACGACATTCCTCCGCAACCTGGTGTTGCGGCCGTCGCTTAGGCAGCCAATTCGGCCACCACCATCGCCCTTCTCCACCATACGGGCCTTCTCCAGCACCCCATCGCCAAAGGCAACCCTCAACCAAGTCCTGCGGGTACAGCAGCCCTCACCACATCCTCCTCCTCGTCCTCCATTCCTCGCTAACGCTGTCTTCCCGGCTTGTCGTTTTCTAGGGCTGCCGGAAACCCCAACGCGCCCGCCACGCCGTCTCCCCGGCGCTCTCGGCCATCCACGCGCCCGCGCTCAAGGGCGTCTGCGTCAAGGTGGGCATCACTAAGCCCAAGAAGCCCAACTCGGGCGAGCGAAAGACGGCCCGTGTACGCCTGTCTACGGGCAAGGTGATTACAGCGTACATTCCCGGCGAAGGGCACAATATCCAGCAGCACAGCGTCGTGCTGGTCCGCGGCGGGCGGGCGCAGGACTGTCCCGGCGTGCGGTACCACTTGGTTAGGGGCGCTTTGGACTTGGTGAGTTTACGCCCTCTTTGGTGTCCATCGAGGCACTAGTTCGTGGGCAAGAGCGAATTGCTGATACGGGCTCGTGCGGTAGGGTGGTGTTGGCGCGAGAATGACGAGCAGGAGTAAATACGGGACGAAGAAACCCAAAAAGGCATCAGTTGGCTAAGCTGCAGTGATCTTGTTCTTCAAGGGCGCAGGAGCGAATCTCAGGGATGCCGATGCTTAGATGAGACGCAAGCAAGTTGGGACTTTTCAGCAAGCATTAGTCCCTTTTGTACTATTATATGTACATATATCGCATACCATGGACATCGAAAATTCCCACAGCAACAGCAATATGCTATCGCAATGAGAGACACCTAAACAGCATATCAGTCAAAGAAATTTCAGGTTAGCAGATCCCCATTTGGCGTACACTTAAAACTCTACAACACAGAAGCCACCGCCAGAAGCCAACGGGCCACAGTCCAAACGGCTGCCAATGACCATAGTCCCCAGACGCCTCCGTGATCCGTTAACCCTTTTTTCCCGTTCGTTTCGAGGGCGAGGAGTTCCCGAAACTCATGCGTGTGCGACAATCAAGAAAATGTAACAGATGGATAAAGCAAACACAACCACAACAGGGCTTGTAGTACAGCAAATTCTTCAAGATCATTCGATGGGAAGAAACCGCCGTCAACTACTCAAGCGTCTTTCTCCTGCTCCCAGCCTTCCGGCTTCTCCATGTTGTTTATATCAAAGAATCTTGCCGTGCCTGTGACGATGCATTGGTCAGCGCTAATGATACAGCAATAGAATAAACACTGGGTCAGTCATACAAGAGTAGCCTTTCCAGTCAAAGTTCTCCTTCGGGTCGCAGTGACACCTCAACGACTGCCGCAACGCTTCCCCGGTTGGGCAGTGCGTAAAGGGCACATGGTAGTAGGCAATGTCATTGAAGAAGTGGATCTGGTCCTTGGGTAGCATCAGACCAGCGGCAATGGAGTGCACTGGCGCATCTCCCCAGCGCTCATAGAAAAAGCCGCCGTCCTGGTCGAGGCTGTTAAAGAAGTCAAGGTAGGCCTTCGAGCGGAGCCAGCTTAGACTACCAATCTCGAAGTTGGACCACTTGAAAAGCAGTTAGCGGCAGTTTGGATAGCGAGCTTGAGGCCCGGAGGGGCCCACTTACAAAGTGGCATTTGTTGTAGGTCTCGCCGCCGTCATCACTCAAAAAGGCCATCGAGTTGCCTGCAGCAATATGCTCCGGGTGATTCTTGATAAACTTTTTGACGCTGTCCCAAAGAGTGGGAATGGTGTCAATGTACTCGTACAAACTGAGCACAAAGCTGTACTTCTTGTTGTTCTCGTGCATGTAGCGGAAAGGATCGTAGTGGATGTCGCAGAACAGCTTGATGCTCGGCTCGACGCGCCAGTAGTATTCATAATTCATCATCAATGGCTGGCGAAAGAAGAAGCCCGACTCAAATCGGCACATATGGCGGTAGCTGATGCTGTCACCGTAGATAATCTTCTTCTGCGCCATGTCTTCGCGCACCTTCTTTGCCTTCTCCTGGTCGATGTGGGGTGGGAAGGACCAGTGCTCCGTGGGAATCAGGCCGTAGTGCGTCTTGCCGGAAACAAGAGAGGTTGTCACCTTCTTGAAAAGATCATCGAACGGTTGGTCGTTTAGGAAAACCCAGTCGTAGTTGTACCGCCGGTTGAAACGATCCTCAACCTGACGGATCGATTTGGCAATCTCCCACACATCCCCGTTGCGTGCGAGCGTCACGAATGTCGCGTTCATGCGTGGGCCACTGTTGATGGTGGTAAGATCATCCCAACCTGGATCGCCTGGCTTCAGAGCCAAGGGATATTTGTCTGCATCGTAGTTGGTGCTGATCTTGTGCGTGTTCGGCGCCTCCTTGGTCGTTGGTTGGGCGTTCTTATCGGCGGGTTGCGTTTTCGAGGTTGGAATCGTCAAGGCAGGGCCTACTGGTGATGAATTCGACACGAAGTACAGGACGGCAAGTATCTAAGCGGCTATCAGTCGAATGGGGACGATGGGCTCACAATGGACATTTTGCGCGCTAGTCCATCATCATGACTGGTGCGGTCGCACTTACAAAGAAGGCCACAAGGATGTAGCGAACATAGCGAACACTCCCGGCCGCCATGTTGTCTGCGTGGTCGAGCTTGGATTATCGATTGATGAATTGATGCGAGAGCTGCGCGGAAGCAGAGACGCGGCTGCCGAGGGTTCGGCCTCTGCTATCCTCAAAATGCGCGCTTTGGAGACTCGCAGTGAGCGTCGAGACACTGATGTGGCAAGTTGTCCAGGCCACCTAGAATGCTGAAAGTAATTGGCGGGGACTCCACGTCCGTCGAGACAATGAGTTCACTGCTCGGTCATTCTTGTCTGCTCACGTTAAGCGGCACACCCTCAGAAGCTGGCAGGCCGAGAGGGATTCTGGACTGAGGTGCTCCGAGATTGAAAATGCGAACCGTGATGGATTCGACTACTCGCTGCCACAGCAGCTGGCTGAACCCCTAGATAGAGCCCTACGTTAGTGGTGGACCTTCAAACCACGCTACTGTCTAAAAATGTTCGCAGCCGCATTGGACCGATTCGGGCAGCAGCTCGTACTGATCTAGCACTCAGAAGGCCAGTTTCAATGTAAATGCGATAGCAAAATACTTACACACATACGTCAGCAACCTCGTAATCACAGTCTCGTAACTTGAACAGGACAGGAAACCCTGCATGTAACGGTGGTGGATATTTGCTAGGACCCTTTATACGGAGAACAAGTACCTACTGTATGTACGGAGGTATATACGCCCACTCACCAGTGGACCTCTCATCATTGTGTCCAGAAAGATCCTTAGTGTAATTTCTTGCACACCACACATTGGAGTTGTTTCCGTTGTGCCAAGCTTCTAGATCTTAGGAATACGAGCACAAGAGTACTCTGTGGTGTATGACACTCGTGCACCATGCTGAATGCACAGTTCCGGGCTCTTGGATCCAGCAGCGGGAGATCTTAATTGCTTCCGCGTGCATCTAAAGAGGACAAGGGTACTCAACCACCAGATTCAAAGGGGACTCGACTTAATAGAAGTTCTTCCAAGCAGTGATTTCCAATCAAGCCTCATAATCGTCCGGCGCAACTTTCGATCCTTAGACGGTGAGCCGTAGTGGTCTGTCTATACACAACAGCAGATGATTGTTAACAGAACTAACTTCCTAGGTAGGTTGTTAGATTTCCTCCAGCGTTGCTGGCCGTTATGTTGGTAATTTGCATACCTCGGTACATGAACATACCGTATTCACATAAACCTGCTTCATTGATGAACCCCGCTATTGGCTTAATTTGCATCCCACTTCTCCATCTTGGTGTGCGCAACACCAAAGTATTGGCCCACATTCCGACTCCATCTCAAGCCGAGTTCAAAGTACCGTGGCCAAGTCTGCGACAGTTTCACACGGCAAGAGATCTTATTCGGTCGCATTGCATTGTTCGCGATGTTCCTTGCCCGCATCAACCACGTCAATTTATTTATCAAGCGCGCTGTAAGTCGATGCCCAGTTCGAACCTCGCTCCGTCATGGATGTTGTCATGCTGCCTCCCAACTGAGGGAACACCGGACTTTGCGCCTTTAAGGGTTCAGTCATCTGTGAATGCGGAGTATCTGCGATTCTGCCATTTTGGCCACAGGGGGTTGACCAAATCAAATAGTAAAACTTTTCCCGGCGCTTCTCTCTGCTCTTTTCGCTCGCAGCCATGTCGTTTTTCGGCTTCGATGCTTCACGCCATAATCCGGCGGCGGCGGGCTTTTCTCAAGCCCATAACCCTTTCGCCGGGTTGGCGAGCCACGACGACGAAGGCGACGCTCTGGAATTCGAAGATACGTATGACGGCCTGGGCGATCAGCTTGATGAGAGCGGCGACGCCTTCAATGACGATACGTTTGGTGACACTGCCGATCTGACCGCCGGGCCTTCTGGCAATGATTTCGATTTCTTCGGCCAGACTGCCAAAGTTTCGAATGCCATTGAAGAAGAGCACGTCCGTTTCAACCGTCAAGCGCCTCCTGCCAAAGCTTCGCAGCCGGCACCTCAACCTTCAACGCAAGCTTTCGGTCAGCCGTCTGCATCGACCACCCCATCGTACGGTCATGGGTCGCAACCATCTTCGTCCAAGACGGTGCGGACAGGCTATGAAAAGTACAGCAGCGAACCCGTCGGCGAGCTACAGGTTGATCCGGCCCTCTGGGGCGTTGCCCCCAAAAAGCCCTCTCAGGCAACCCCCGCCGCCGCTCCTCCGCCGGCTACATCTTCGGCGCCTCCGAGCCGAAAGGTGTTGAGTCTGGAGGAGGTGGAGGCTCAAATTCGGGCTCAAGCAAAGAAAGCCGCGCAGTCCGCTCCATCTCCTGCTCCTCAACCTGCTCCCCCTCCCTCTGCTCCCCAGTCTCAAGCAGCACCGCACGCACAGTATCACATAGCCTATCAATATCCGCACCATGTTCAACCTCAACTCCCTGCGCAAGCGGATATGTCTCGGGCCCAAGAGCCCTCATTCCCTCCGGGAAATGGACACCCTGTTACCATCCTGCAAAGACCGCAAACCAAGCCCGCCTCTGCGCCTGGGCCGCCGGTTCAACAAGCAGTCCAGACGCGCCAGCAGCCGTCCGCACCCGTCCACCCGACCCAGATCCTCCAGAACCCGAATCGACTTTCCGGAGATGCAGCTCGAATCGGCGTCCCGCAGCACCCCACACCCCCGATACCGATGCCGGGCACTTACCCATCGCACGCCCACCACCGACATCAAAGCTCATTCTCGCGGCAGCCGCACATCATTACTCACCCATCGCAGCTTTCGCAGTTGACTGAGGAGGAGAAAGCTGCTTATCTGGAGCAGGAGGCCAAGCGCGCGAAGCGTAATCATAAGATATTCCTCATGTCTCGCGACAACGGCATAATGACACCCCAGGATAAGAGCTTTGTCACCCGCATTCAGCTTCAGCAGCTGGTGGCTGCAACCGGCAATCCCAATGAGCGCGGAACCGACGAATCCCTTGCCGAGGACTTCTATTACCAGGTCCACAGTCAGATTCAGGGTGGCCAGCGGCAAAACCCCAACCAGCCGCTGAACAATTTCGCGCAGACTTATCTTTTCCAAACTGGGAGCCGCCAGGGAGGCCTGCGCCGCCACCACCGCGGACCCGAGAATCACATGCAGCGGATGGAGCAGCAAGTGCAGCGTGCTGTCGAGGCGGCCAAGAACAAGCCCAAGAATAAGCAGCTTGTCATTGAGGGAAGCCTTGGCAAGATCTCTTTCAGCAACGCCAAGACTCCCAAACCCTTGCTGAATATCAAACGCACGGAAAGCACCGGTGAAGCCCATCGCCCCGGCAGTGCTCATAAGCAGGTATCCAGCGGCGTCGATAGGAAGGGCGAGCTGCGCTCTATCGAGCGTATCTACACGACGCTTATGAAAATGGAGGATCACGACCGGATGATGCCGCCTCCTCCCGCTACTGATGCCGATACTGATGCGGTACAGAAGCTCGCCGCATGGGGTAGCGAGGCGCAGACTTTGAACCGCAAGCTCTGGGACAGTCTTCGTATCCATGACCATCCCGATAATGGGGGCGTGCACCCCTTCATCGCGCTGCTTTCCTACAGCAAGGGCAAGAAGGCAATGCAGCGCATCTTCCGCCATTTGACACAAGAGCAACGCACTACGATCCTCACTCTGATCGTTGTAAACCTGGACAATCTGGATGTTGTGCGAAATGCCCAGGTGACGTCTGGCCAGATACAGCTGAACGCGGCGATGCGTGAAAATGTCGAACTCTTCTCGGTTGCTGTCATGTCGACTCTCTTCAACATTCTCAACGAACTGGATTTGGACCTTGTGGCCGGTGTGCTAGGCCTTGTCTGTTCTCGCAACGTTGATGTTATCGCCAAGAGCAGAGTTGGCGCGTCAATGCTCACAATGATCCTGAGCCGCGCCGAGATTATCAAGCACGGCGGAGGCGGCAGTGAGCAGGCCTGGCGGTCATGGTATGTGGCCTTGTCTTGTCCGCACACGATTACCAAGCTGACTATTTTCCAGGGATTTGACCTACACACAGTTTTTCGACCTGATCGAGCCTACCCTTCCCCACATCTTCCCGGGACCAGTTACCGCCAGCGACGATATTTACGTCTGGCAACTTCTGGCGGCCCTTGGCATTGGCGCCGGCCCCGATCAGCAGCAGAGGCTTGTTATCGCCGTGAAGGACCGTGTCATGGATACGGTTGCCCTCTCAAAGAGCCTTCCCCAGGACCTCGCCGCCCAGCGTCTGCAAAACGTCAACCTTTTCATGCGTTCGATCGGTTTGGATGTGGAACTGCTTCAGTGAAGCGGATGTTGTGAATTCACTGGTCACGTCTACATCTAAGGTGGGCAAGATGTGGAACCAAAGGATTCGAGATTTAGCAAAACGTTGGGGCGGATCTATGAAGATCGCATGGATGTGATGTCTCGGAAGCGCTGCTGCTTTGACTGGAAAGCTCATGGAGTATTTCCGAGCTCCCTGGGCTTGGTGACAGTGTGGCTTCGACAGCGAGTTGCCTGGCGGGTCGGGTTGCTATTCGTTTGAGAAGCCGCAATTGTCAGAAAGGAGGAGGGCCCGGAGAGTAGATGATGATGCCGCCATGGATGTATGTAAAGTAGTGGCGGAAAAGCAGGAAGCAAATCATCAACACCGTGAATCCTAGGCCTCTCCACGCCTTCATCAACCATAGGACCCCTTGCTAGGGTTGAGAATTGGCTTGGTGATGATGGAGAGCCAGACTCCAATGTCGCGGGCTCGGATGACATCGATCAGGCACCACTCCTACTCAATCTATCTCCATAACACCGCCCCTACTTGTCCCTCTTGCCCCAGGGCCCCTTTTTGGCGCGACAGACACAGAACGAGATACTAAGTTCGCTGTAGCGGACCGACTGGCCCCGGCCTCCATCTTCACGGCGGCCTCCTCCCCGTCCCCTTTACCATTTACCGCTCCCCCGGCAGGACGGCGCACCGTGCTAATAGCATTCAATAACTCCGTCTCGCCCCAGTCTGTCCGCAGCTGAGCCACACGCTCAGCCAGATCCGGCGCACCACTGTCATCAACAGCAGCAGCACCACCACCGTCCGCGTCAGCCTCGACCGCGACCGTTGGCTTCTCCTTTCCTTTCCCCTTTCCCGCCTTGTTATCGTCCTCGTCTTTTGCTAATGGTGATGATGAAGATGACGAGCTCCGCATGAGCAGGCACTCGTTGTACGCCTCCCACGCCAGCTCGGCCTCGTCGTGCACCCACTCCATGCGCCGCCAGCTCTCCATCTGCACCTTGCGCAGCCGGTCCGCCATGGTCTCGGCCGCCACCCCGCCCGTGTCGTCCATGGCCGACTTGAGCGCCATGTGGATGGCCCGGCCGGCCGACTTTTCGCCTGCTGCTGCCGCGGAGGACGCGGCGGCCGCGCCGGATGCGGGCGCGCGGGCCAGCCGCTCCTGTTCCGTTGCTGCGTCGAGGTGGTGCGGGACGGGGCGCAGCTGGACGATTTCTGAGACAGGGGTTAGGTGGAGGTTTTCTGTGGACACGGAAATGGGTTAGTTTGATACCTAGTTTTGTGTGTGATTGGGGAAGGAACAAGACAAGAAGAGGGAATTTACTGACTCCCTTGGAAGACCCCAATCATCTCTCTCGTATGCTCCTCTGCGCTGCGTCCACCTCCGAACGTCTGCGTGCGCAATACCTTGTCCTGCTTCACAGCTTCGGCCCAGCTCAGGGGAAGCCCGTCATCCTCGGTTGACGCAGCGCCTCTCCGGCCTCCTCTCCCAGCGGCCGGGTTAGGTGCCGTGACAATGTTGAACCCCCCTGCCAGGCCCATACCACCGCCCTTTTTTGTTTCCATTGACTTCTTCAGGGCGGTGCCCCAGGCGATGCCTTTGTTTCGGTCGTAGGCCTCCATTGTGTCGATGGGCACGTCCACCTCGTACATGCCCGTGTTAGGTTTGACTCGCAGCTCAGTGATGCGCGGCATGCGGATCGAGCCCGGGTCTTGGGCGGTTTTGGTGACATATTGGAAGACCACAAGATTGCGGTGTTCAGGGAGAGGCGGTTTGAGAAAGACAGAGTAGCTGGCGACAATTGGATCGTCGTCGTCGTCGTCGTGAGGCGTTGTCGATGCCCCGTGGGGCACGCTCGAGTCGGACATGGAGGATTTTGGTATGGATGAAGCAGGGGGAGGGTATTCAAGGGACTTCGAACGGACAGCTCGATAGTATCAAATACCAGTTATCCTCAGCATGGGACATATACCAACTTGAACTTGTCTTAAGCTATGCACACGTGGAGTCGTGGACTGATGCGCAGAGTCGCAGATTCTGATGTGCCCCGCGATACTGGAAATTTTAGTGGGGTCGGCTGCTGATGATGCAGGGTCGAAGCTCTTGCGAGTGTTGCGACTGTGTGAGTGGATCACTGTGTTGACTGGGGTCCCACCCGGTAAAAGAGTGAAACATGTGATTTTTAGGAATAACTAAAGTCTCAGTACTCCGTAGTTAGTGAACATTCCTCGCCTCAGCACTTCACGGCATATTGCTAACCTCCACGGACCAGGCAACATCATGCGCGCACACACACGCACTGTGCAATTGAGAATATGCTCTCTTACACCACGTCTGAAGACGTTGAGGCAAGGTGCTTTTTTGAGCTGATTTCTTCCCGAGTCAATTACAGTGTTCGCCAAGCCTTCCCCGGGCCGCGTACCAAGGCTTTGCATAACCTACCCGACCCCGTAGGCTACCGGATATCTTCGTCTCTCGCAAGGCTTCATCGGCAGCTGGTTGACGATGTGCCACGTAGCCGAGGCAGTTAAAATGCTGCCTTTGCATCTTGCCGAGATCTCATACTGCATAAGGCTGACTACACATGACACAGCCCCATAAGACCTCATCACAGATGCGTGGCTTCTGCAATGCAGGCAGTCCTTGGACGGAACGCCAATGGAAAGCTGGAACTCGGGAGCCTTCCCGGGTGCTTTGACTCGCGCCACTCCTGCCTTACTGCACTCCGTCGAGGGTGATAAGGGCCTTTTGCAGACCATGCATACACATGAACCCGCATTCCTGTCTCTGGTCTCTTCAGGAGATTCCCCCAAGGGTACTTGAACACCATTGTCATAACCAAATCACGGCTCACATCCGACGCTACCTGTCGGAATGAGCGGCGTACAGTACACTTTTGATATCGTCGCAGCGGCCAAGAACACCGCCCTGCTTGGTCAAGCCGTCCTCGGCTTGAGCAAAATCATGCGGTATTGTTACCGTGAAGGCGTTGATCCCCTCACAGCCGCTTCCCTCGAACGACTCGGAGGTTGGCTCATGGTTGATGCCGACCGTCTCCGAGAAGGCGAGCGGATCCTCGAGAGTGTTCCCGCACCCAAGGTCTGGCGTTTGGGCCCACTCACGCTTTTGGTTGGAGTGGACAACGACCCTACCGGCAGTCTGATCAGAGAAATTCGCCAGAACTCCCGGTTGATTGCCACCTTTCTCCTCGTTGGCGGGTGCACGGTGTTCTTGGATGCCGGCCAGACCACAGAGTTTGTCTACGAGCTGATGCGCCAGAGCGGTGTTCTCAAGGATTATGCAACACCCAGCAATCAAGTTCGAGGATTCGTGGAGATTCTCAGTGGTTGCCACGAGTATGCAAAGAAAAGTGCCACCGACGTTTTCAACGATGTAATCGCCGAGGTATGTCGGCTTGTTGCCGGCCCAAACCGGCAGCGCTCTATAGCGAGCCTGAACCACAGGGGAAACCTCCAGAAGCTTGCTGCAGTGTTCCATGAAGTAGTTACGAAACTTCAGGATGCTGAAGTCGAGCTCGTTTTGCTCCGGGGCAGCCGGCAAGGAATATGGCTGGCATTCCTGTTCATTTGGCTGCGGCCTGCGGATGTTGAAGTCTTCTTGAGGACAGATCGCGTCTTTCCCACATCAGATCAAGAAGATTCCAATGCACCCGGGCAAAAGAGGCTGATGATTCGCTTCGAGGATGAGACCGAATCGTGGCATGTTGAAGTGTGGAGGGCGGCACGCGGCCCGCTTCCAGTTGTCCGTTTCGAGGTTACCAACCGCCATAAGACGGATCTCTATGCCCAGCATTCATCACCGCTCAAATCTGCGAGAAACATGCTCATTCTAAATGGGCTCTCAGTGGCGACAGTTGATGCGATTGGCCACCTCGCCGGCGCCATTGTCGCATTCGCGACGGAATCGGGTCGTTTGTCCCACGGACACGAGTCACGAAAGCTAACGGAGCTGTGTTCTCATTACTTTCTGGAGAAATACAACACAATTATGAATCGCTTCGGGTGGGACCTTTTCCTCGACGCGGGCCGTCAGGACAAGATAAAACAGGCATTGATGAGTAGCCAGTCTGCTTTTCATGCCTCCACAGATACCGGCATCCGCGGTCTAGAGAATTGGATTGACCGGGCTTGCGCAGTCTACATGGAGGAGCACAGGATGAATATGCTGCTTTCCCCAGATGAGATCAAGCAAGGGGGTAAAGTCGAAGGCATTGTCATTGAGCATGCCATTCACCTTGCTGGGCAAGCACTAATGTTCTCAATGTGTGCTGAGATACCAATGAATGCTCTCTTCCAGCCAGCAGAACCTAAGGGTATTGAGAAACACGCCCATTTCATATGCTCCCTGGTCACTGCCGGCGAGGCTTCTGGGAAGGATCCCGCTTCGCGAGGGTATGATTTTACGACGTTCAGGACAAACACCCTCGAAACTTTGGTTCCTACCTCCGCAGTCATCGGCCCGGGGGATCTGGCTCTTGCTAGTGACGGATATGTGGTATACTCCGGAGTGGTCCAGAATTTGGACACCGACGGCAGAGGATTGACAGATATACGGAGCATCCTAGCTTTCCATCTCGCACCGGGGCCTCTGAAAATCCGCAATTCTGAGGGGGTGGTGTGCAGACTCACTGAGGATACCCATTTTACGGCTCTAGCCTCACGTACGATCGACGTTCGTCCCAGCATTATTACTCTCTACCAAGCCGACAAATGCTGCCTCGATGAACGGGACGCAAACAATCGCTTTGGCTTCGAAATTATACACCTCTGGAGGTCCGACAATGCCTTGGGACCTCAAACGATACACGTGAGAACATACATCAAGTCAAAAACCAACCAAGGTCTTATCCAATATCCTGGCGCTGGCGAGCAGAATATTCCCACCAACTGGGAGCTCTCGATTCGGACTCTGGCCTTTGCCAACCATATTATCAGCGGCTACTCTAGTCCCACGCAGCTCAAGCTGCTTGCCGGCGAGTGGGAGCGCAAGGGGTATCTGGGGGGAAAGTTGCAGTGGTGCCCCGTGGGCATGCTGGATAGGGTCGGTGTACGATATGTGACCGTGACAAGCAACGACGAGCGGCTGCGGTTCTTCGAGGCAGGCAACCTCGGGGAGAAGCGAAAGGTCTTTGTTCGCCATCGGTCTACTTCGCTGTTCGAGTGTATCAAGCAGGCTATGGAAATCTGCGGCGACGATCCAAACTGGGTAATCATATCGTAACCCAGCCAGGGTTTCCTTCCGTACAAATAGTAGGTATTGTGTACCTTTTGAGTAGTGTAGTTGCTGTCCTCAGTTGGTTGGAGGGATCCTCGAATGTTTTGGATGAATGCATAACCCTTTGGAACCTATGGCCATCTGTTTGCGTTCATCAGGCTACTTGTTCAGGTAGGATCCTCCTTTAAGTACCTTGGTTATCAACAGGGTCCCTAGATTATTGGTTGGCATTTCTTTAGGTAATCAACCAAAACGGAAGCTGGTAGCGCCTGTGCAAGAAGAAACAAGAGCGGAATTTTTCGACGGTGGTTTAGGGAGATGCTGGATATCGGGACCTGCATTCCCGTCAACCTCCAACCTACCTACGTCAGGTACCTTACCTTGGTAGGCTGAGATGAGAAGTATACTTGATCATATTTCAGCCTTGACCATGCCGCTCCCGTAACTTCTATTACGATTGAGATGATATGACCGTTCCCGGCAAGCCGGACTGGTTGCAGCTTTGTTGACGCCAGGGGGGAAAGGAGGCGATATCATGTACAACGGTCATGATGAATAGGTGGTTCAGCCAACTGGAGTATTCAATCTCTCAGCTTTTTGCCTCGCTTCCGTGGCACAAAGTGCCATTGGTCTTCGGCTTGAAGTTGCTGGCTTGAGTTGTGTTCTTTGAATGATGACTTCCCCCCGGGATCCGGAACTCCGGATGAGTCTCGAACAGGACCAATAGCAACCGCGCCAGCGAGTCCCGCAACGTTGACAGCGCAGTGTGCAGGGTGGTTGGCACAACTGCAGCAAACCAACAACTGCCACGGAAAACCATGCGACACATGCTCTGTGGCAGCGCGAGAGCCAAGCTCGGGGATCATCGTGTCCATAGGGCCGAAGCATGTGAGTTGGTAGCACCGCCAGGGGCATGGAGAACTCTGATATACAACACTTACGCCAGCCGCATTGAGCCCGATTCCAAAGATGCAGTTGGAAATACGGCTTGCTGGTGTGCTATGCCTGATTTCTTCCCTGGATTGGACCCTGGATGGCAACTTGAACACAGCATTATTCCCTCCCTCATGCCCAGATCACCAGCTCCAACCCACGAAGCGAGTATCCTTACCCCAAATCCCCAATGCAAAGGCCGTCCGAGGGATCCAGTAATGGCAGGTAACCCAACGTCCGACAACCCCATCGCCGTCTGAAGGTCTAACGACCTACGGATGTAGGATCATCAAGCAGGGAATCAATTGCCAAGCAACTCGATGAGTCAAGCCTAAAACTGCGTCAGCTCGATTCGGAACTCCAGGCCCTCTCCCAGTCAGTGTCCCGTCTGCGGGAGGAAGCGAGGGCGTTTGCTGCGTCTCTTCGCAAGTCCTTAGAGACAAATGCTCTTGCCACACGCTCCGCTTGGGCAAATCTCCAGGGTTTAGCAACTGCGGCTTGCTGGGACTGTGAGAGCGACGATGACGACGACAGCCAGGAAGACCATTGTGTCACTCTCAGCCAGCTTCAGCTTGAGCTTGCCAACTTGGGCAAGATTGTCGACGAGCTGACACGGCATAGTACCGGTCCTGAGCACGAGAAGCTGTCTACGCTGAGACTCCAGGGCGCCGACGCGATATCAAGACTGGAATTTCTCGGAATCCGACTTCGAGACTCGCAAGAAGAAGTGGGCGAAATGGAGATTGAGGCGGGAAAAGAGTTGGAATTAGCCGTTGATTATGAGAAGGGGTTGGTCGAGAAACGCGACGAGATCCGGTCGAGACTGTCTGAGTTGAAGGACGAGAAAGATAGGAAGGCGACCCTGCACAACCTCTTAGCATTGATTACGCCCATCCTGAGCATGTGCTGCTGCTACGCCAGGGTCTCTAAGCTTTTCGCGGTTAGGTAAGCCCTGCAAACCCCGCGAGATAAATAGAGACTCTGACAGTCTGACTTGTGCGAAACAAAAAGCGGATTTGACAAGCAAATTGCTGAACTCGTCTATCAAGACGACGCCTACGAGTCCGGGATCAAAGAGGTCAGAAAGCAGCTACAGCAGCTGCACCTCCAGGTCTCAGCACTCGAGGCTTATAGAGGTCGGATCCTGGAGCTTACCGGAACATGCAGTGAACTCCTCCGACAATCACAGGAGAAGCTGGCAGAGATTCGCAATTTGGAACCACAACTTATTGACCTGGGAAAGGCGGCCGCGCAGGTGTCTCTGGGCCTCCAACATATACAGAGCCAAGCGACTGCGATACAACAATCGTCATGTCAAGACTGGAGTTCAGTGGAGGAACGTATGCGCGGCTTCGTCCAGTCCTTGATGGAGGCCGAGCAGAGCAACCCGGCGAAGATCTGTCGGCCGTTGGTTCAGTGTCTCGAGCAGCTTGGAGGCGGATCTCAGAAACTGTTGGCATCAAAACGGCGAGCTGGTTTGAATGGTGCGGCGACAGCACCACTGCAGAGCAGCCGGGAATATCATGAAGCGCCGGATGGGACAATGGGGTGAGGTCAAGACTGGGATAGTCGACTCGGACAGGTACCCTTCGCACGATGCTGAATTCTTTGGATGGAAAAGTCTAAGAGAGCAAGAGATGGTTGTAACGGTGTCGAGAACAGAGAAATGGGCAATTCTAGCATCTCCAGCTGACATGCAGTCGCGGCCTGGAACTGCTCCCCTCTAGTTCCTCTCTGTACATGTTTGACACTCTTTTTCTTTTCCTTTGTCAAATTCTTCGATCTTATCCAAGACATACATTGTGTCATCATTTCATGTAAGGCAGCTAAGCTCAAGGTGACAAGGTGTGATGGAGGCAACTTCCTTACCAAGATACCGGGGCTCATCCGCACCTGCTTTAGGCACCAGGCCTTCGGGAACCACTGCCAGTTATGGATGCCCGTGAACAGTAACGCTTCGACTGCAACCTCTCATCAGATTGGCAAATTCTCATCATTCTCTCAAGGATGCCTACAGTACTTTAGCGACCCGACACGCATCCTGGTCGTCACAAACTCCGCAACGAATCCATATCTCGTCTCGAGACAATCTCCGTCTGTCTGTGTGTACACCTGAACATTTGCTCTCTCACAAAATGCTGGACTTCATCAGGGCATTGGGCGGGAGGTTTGTGGGAAGCATCTAGAGGATTGAAAGGGCGATATTCAATCGACCTTCGCCATCGCCTCCTGCCGGCCCTCTACTGCCACTTCCGGTCTGGATTCGCAGGCTATACGACGCCGGCCGGCCGTTATTTACTCGGGAAGCGCTCCAGGACATTGTCTCCCAGCTTGACCACGCTGATCCACTTGAGACGGAAGAAATACATGTCACTGACTACCTCGGTAACCTCGTCCCCATTCAGCTCAGAACCGGGAAAGGAGTCAGGTGGTTCGACTTCGACGAGAATTTGGTTGTGATAGCGTGCGTTACGAGTTCCAAGCCCCCAATTCAGATGATCAACTGACATCACCCGCGGTGCCAGGACATCTCCCCATCTACATTACCGGTCGATCCAAGAACTCGTAGCAGAGGCGCTGGTAACGGACCTGGAGCCTGTCAGGCCCGACTCGAAGGCACAGCCCCTTGTTACAACTTATGTTGAGTACGTCTTCGAGTACTACAATGGTGATTATCCTGCAATGGAACGCGGTGTGCGGCTCGGCGTTTATCCTCCTCCATGCTCAGTGCAGTCAATCGGGACTGCTCTGCTCGACGAGGAGGAAATCTTGACGGAAGGCCCACAAGGAGCCATGGTGATCCACAGTCTCCGGGAGGCCAAGACTCTTCCATACATCAAGAGGATTGTCGCATTTGAATGTGGCCCAATGAGCTGGTTTACCTACCGTCGAAAGCCGGCCCTGATACATCACGCCCTAGTTCTCCTTCTCCGGCGTGTGATAGCTGAACGGCAAAGAATGCCAGCCGAGGCCCTCCTGACAATATTTCAGGATCCCATATATACGGAAGGGGACATCACTGCCCTGCGTCAACTGGGTCCCAGGGTGGTCAATGATCCTCAGGGATTTCTTGCTATTGACGAAGAGACCCTTGTTGTCTCGATCAACCCGAGCATGCCAGTCCGACAGATAGTTGCCGATCTGGCAAAGCCCGCCATGATGGTCTGGAAAAGAGTGGCTGACGCCCCGATCCCATCGGCTTCCGTTCGCGAAGGGGGTGCCGGTGGAGGTTACTTAATCCCGTAGGTGCCATCACGATCCTTTTTCTCTGGAGCTGTGGAGCAGCAGTTGTGCTAACTCCCAGGCCCAAAGACCGGATATATCGTCACCCCGCGTCAGCAGACTGGTTCGAGACTATATCGAATTGCCGTTCCCGCAAGACAAATTGTACTTTCCAGGCGTCTCCATGTACATCAAGCAAACATGACTTCTGATGGTCCTGAAAATACGGCTTTGATCCACTGTGTCGGCACCAATGTCTTATGGGTTACCCACCAGTTAGTTACACCATGACAGGACTCGAAGACCCGAGGGTGAGCACATGTTATCTCGATTGGCTCAACACGCTGAGTGGGCATGGGCTTGGCCGGGGTCAAGACCGAGTGAGGACGATGACCGCAGCAAAGTGTGCTAGTGGGAGGACTTTTGTAGCGCATCATTAGTGAGCAGCGTATCGTAGTTGATTGCACTACCACTTTCCGTTTCCGCTAGAAGAGCCGTTATTGACAAGCGTCATGGTTTAGAAAATGACGGCATCAATGCTATTTAGATTCATTTCCTGTGAGTCTTTGCCCTGTGGGTATAGCACTGTTGTTGAAGACGACTGTCCTGTGTAAATGATCCGCCATGAGATGTCCTCCAACTGATGATGCACGCTATTGCTCGAAGCGGAGGTCCTAACCCATTCCCTTTGAGCCGTGCTCAACAGTGATACGACTAAAACCTGCCAATGCCTAAAGAAGAAGAAAGCTTGCCAGAGAACTCATGCATAACCCCATGTTTTTATGCTGCGCGTCCATACCCACTCCACGCCCCCGTTGCTCCTGCCATCAGGAGTCCAGGACTCTTACCATCCTCGACCCGCCATCTTTTCTTCCGGCCTCAACCCGGCGTTGCTGATGCCGGCCATGGCTGTGCCGTGCTCAATGCTGGCTTCGATCAGCGCCTGCTTGTCGGTGTAGTGCGCCGTGGCCTTGACAATGGCGCGCGCCCGTTTGGCGGCGTGCTCGGGGGACTCGGCGTCCTTGAAGATGCCGCTGCCGACAAACACGCCATCGCAGCCGAGATGCATCATGAGAGCGGCGTCAGCGGGTGTCGCCACACCGCCCGCGGCAAAGTTGACGACGGGCAGGCGGCCCAGCTCGGCCGTCTGCTTGAGAAGCGCGGCATCGCACCCAATCTCGCGGGCCATGGCGGTAACGGCGAGCTCGCCGCCCGCAGCGAGCGCGGCGCGGGCGCGGGCAATCTCGGCGTTGACGGTGCGGATGTGCTTGACGGCCTCGACGACGTCGCCCGTGCCGGCCTCGCCCTTGGTCCGGATCATGGCGGCGCCCTCCTTGATGCGGCGTAGGGCCTCGCCCAGGTTGCGGCAGCCGCAGACAAAGGGGACCTTGAAGTCGTGCTTGGGCACGTGGAACTGGTCGTCGGCGGGGGTGAGCACCTCGCTCTCGTCGACATAGTCGACGCCCAAGGCCTCGAGAATCTGGCACTCGACCACGTGGCCGATGCGGGCTTTGGCCATGACGGGGATGGTCACGGCCGCCTGGATCTCCTTGATCATCTCCGGGTTGGACATGCGCGCCACGCCGCCCATCTTGCGAATGTCGGAGGGGATGCGCTCCAGCGCCATGACGGCGACGGCGCCGGCCTCCTCGGCGATGCGCGCCTCGGCCGCCGTCGTCACGTCCATGATCACGCCGCCCTTGAGCATCTGCGCCAGGCCGGCCTTGACGGTGAAATCGTCATTGTTGGACGAACCGTTGGCGGCGCCGTTGAGGTTGGTTGCCATCTTTGGCTTTTTTTTTGTCCCCCTCGGTTGGAAGGTGATTAAGTGAGGTGTTTTTTTTGGGGGGGCAGTGGCGGTTTAGGAGGGGCCTCGAAGGGGTGCTCTGCCGATCTTCTCCTCGGTCGAGAAGAGTTGATTCGGATGATTCCAAACTAAAAAGCAAGGAAGATCTAGAGAAACAGCCGTCGCCGTTCAAGAGTAACTTTGGATAACTTTTTAAAGGATGACAGCATGACTCAGTGAGTCGGTTTCTGTCTCGTCTAGCGACCCCTCCACCTCCATTGAACTTTTGATGCTAGCTACGGTGCGAGTAATACTGTAGCCGTCCGGTGTTGCATCCGGGAGTTGGGATGGCCGTTCTCCGAATCGGAGACGGGCCCGCCACAGCGGGACCTAACAACAAGGGCCACTTGCACCCATGCCCCTTTGCGGACAGCTCCTGGGGTCCCCATGTCGTGATTACACATGAGGGTCGAGATTGGTCGAGATTGGTCTGTCAGATGAAAAACATTGCAGCTACCGTAGATTTCTCGCGTAACTGCTTCGTATCCGCACCCTGCATTGATAAAATCGATGATGGAGTCCATTGAGTGCTGAGTCACGAAGGCATCGTCCATTGGTTTATCCTCATGTGATCGATATCCGCGAGCTTACCCTACCATACCCTACATGCGCCCTTCCCGCAACACATCACTTCACAAGTTCAATGCATCTCGCCGGGTTGATCAGGGTCGCACAAACCGGCCGTGACAGCAGGATCGGCACCTCCCCGCACAGTCCTAACTCTATTTTCCCCACCGTTCGACTATTCTGAAAAGGCACAGCACTTCAGTTCAAGCACGATTATTTATCGCTCAAGCTGAGTCAAGGTAACGCAGAGCCATCCACGTGCCGATATCGTCCAGAACGTGGCGAGGGTACGAGGTACTCGGTGGAGTATTTCAAGGCGTGGGATACTAAGACCGCCCCTATCCGGCAAATCCCGACCACGGCCGACCACAGCAACTCCCGGCTCGTTCGTCAGTCAGTTGCCAAGAAGTGACTCGAGTGAGTCGACAGCTTGGGAAAGATCACTCCAGATTTCGTTCTTGCCTTCATTGCCATTGCCTCAACCTCAGAACCAGCTAGTTACCGGCACCAAGAAGTCGAAAACCTCACTTAGGGTCTCTGAGGGGCGAGAGAGGTAGAGTGTCACACATCACCAGTTTACTACTCAGTATCAACCACAATGACGGTCGACTCAAAGCCCAGCACCATCACAGTCGGGGTGCTCGCCCTCCAAGGCGGCGTCGTCGAGCACCTCAACCTCCTCCGCAAAGCCGCAGGCCACATCGCCTCCCCGGCATTCACCTTCGCTTTCGTCGAAGTGCGCACCGCCCCGCAGCTCGCGCAATGCAATGCCCTGATCATACCCGGCGGCGAGAGCACCACCATGGCCATTGTTGCCCGCCGGCTGGGGCTGCTTGATCCGCTGCGCGAGTTTGTAAAGTGAGTCATCCCCCAATCCTTCCCCTTCACTCCTTGCTCAATTGAGCTGCCCCCTTACAGTTTCTCCTATCTCTTTATTTACCCCAAGGACTGGGCTAACTCATACCCACTACCACCCCAGAATCCAACACAAACCTGTCTGGGGAACCTGCGCGGGGCTGGTCATGCTCGCCGAGCAGGCCAGCGCGACCAAGCAGGGCGGGCAGGAGCTGATTGGGGGCCTGGACGTGCGGGTGCTGCGCAACCGGTACGGCTCGCAGGTGCAGAGCTTTGTGGCCGAGTTGGAGCTGCCGTTTCTTGATGCCAATGCCAGTAATGCCAAGGGGGAAGCCGCCGCCGGCGAGCGGACGTTTAGGGGCGTTTTCATCCGTGCTCCGGTTGTGGAGGAGATCATTGCCCCGGGTGACGGTAGCGAGAAGGGTAATGGTGATGGTGCCGGGAAGGGGGGAGGAAGGTCTGTGGAGGTATTGGGCGTTTATCGTAAGGCGGAAGAGGGCAAACCTGGGGAGGGCGAGGGCGAGGGCGATATCGTCGCGGTGAGGCAGGGGAATGTTCTTGGGACGAGCTTCCACCCGGAGTTGACTGACGATGTGAGGATACATGTTTGGTGGCTGAGGCAGGTTGTGGAGGCGGCGAGGCACGGGGATCTGGTGGTGGGTGGTGCATGACCTTGGAGGCGGTGATGGTACAGGTGGAGGGGTCATTTGCTTTACGGGAATGGCTGCGCGATAGACATAGATGGATAGAATGCGCCAGGCTCATGGTACGCCGTGTAAACGTGGCCAAACATTTCAACTGGCTTTGTCGGTGGTGTCTTGACACTGACAGTCATGAGGTTGAGGGTAAGTTAAAGCGAGTGTGCTTAGTTCAGTACAAGCAGGATGTATCGGTATTTCCAATCATTCTTAAATCCTTGCAGTTGGCCGGGTAGATTTAGCGGCTTCTGTAACGTGTGCTTTCCAGTTGTTGAAGCTGCCAATGTTCTCAGGCCCGCTCAAGTCTCGCACCTGCATCCTCCGAAGTGGTGTCTCTCGAAGACTCAGTCCGATTTCCCACCGAAGACGCCTTGTCAAGATTGATCTGGCCAAGCTGTGAACCCAAATCGTCAATATCAACGCCCCCTACCAAAGACGCACGCGTTGTGCTCCACAACGGGTTTGACGGGGTGTCCCTGGAATCATGCTTGCGGCGGGAGTATGACCTCTCCTTGATGGCCCGCTTTGTCTCCTCCCGTATGTCTTTGACCATCTGCTCAAGAATGGCATTTCTCTCCTCCACGGCTTCCTGACCATCGCCATTCAAAATATCGGGTGCACGCCAGTTGTAGTACAGGTTCTTGTGAGTCGGTCGACACTGGACTCCTGAGTGGTGGGCAGCGAAGTACAAGTGACACAGCAGGCAGGTGGGCTTGCTGCTTCCAACGTAGCGCCCAAACTCAGCCTCATTGAAGAATCGCAGCAGGTCATCGCCCTCGTATTCAGCTTGAGCCTGATCCCGGAGAATCGAGTCGAGAAGGTTGACCTCGGCATGCACAATCGGTCGAAAGTTCAGCGGGTGAACCCTTTGCTTGATCTGGCTGTCGAGTCCACCCGGCCGATTTTGCAAACTCTCGGCATGCTGCTGGTATGCGTCCAGCGTTGACTTATTTCGGCCCATACGCTGGATAATACCCCTTGCGTTCCTTCTGATATCGGGCGGATCCGGGCTGGGCTCGGTTGAGGGGATCCAGTTTACATCGACATTCACAAAGATGCGTGGCCACAACTTTCGTGCAGAGATAAGAACTTTGATGGCAATGAAATAGGAGAGGAGACGGCCAAGAGCGTGACGGACTTCGCACCAGGGGCTGTCCGTGTTTCCCAATCCCAGGGTCTTCTGCTTCATGTAATCTTCCAGCAGCGGTTCATGATGCTTGTCGATTTCCTCAAGAAGTTGTCGGACAGAATCGACAACTGGAGAAAGGGCATTGGTAAGCAACAGGTAGAAACACGCCTATAATTATTTGATTAAGGGATGGATCTTACATGTATCGTCATCATCCGAGGCTGCTTCCCTTGCAGCGTCGACATGAGGTTGAAGACTTTGGAGAGCTTGAGAAACGGATTCTCCTGAAATTGTAATGAGTAATCATGACTGAGCCTGCGATAGCGATGGGATAGAAAAATTGTATCCAGTTGGACATACCCTTGCTGGTTGCTTCCTCAGACGACCTGCCAATGCAGAATCTGAGATTGTCGTTCTCACACAGCGTCTCTATGTAGTGCTGCATTTTGGAGCGGTTGAAAGCGATTACCGTGTGCAGTATGCGAGAGAAGACAGACGCCATGCGAGTCTTGTCGTCCATATCGTCGTCGGCTAAGTCGCCGAGGACGTTGAGGATCTCGGTCACATACTGCTTCACCTCGTTCAACTCGTCGCGGTCACGTAGGTTGGATGCAAAGCGATATTCGATGTTGCCGGAGTCGAGAAGAGCAAATGATGTCACTGTCTTTCCAAGGTGCTGCCCGCGCTGGTTGTCGCATATCTGACCGAGTTTGTTGACGAAACAATAATACATCTGCTGGGGGCTTTTACCGGCAGCAGCCTCCAGGTCAGGCTCTGTCAGCTTGTTGTCTTTCCGATAGACAGCTCTGAGACTGTCGAGCAGGATGACTGGCTCGTAAAACCGTTTCCGGAGACTGGCTGGCAGAGGCATAACATCCGTCATGTTCAGATGAGGGTGGATAAGCTGGCGTGACTGGTTACGGTATGGATATGGGAAATGGCTGGGTGCAAGCTTGTTGGGGACGAGCCTACGACGTTAGGGTTGAGACCAAAGAGATAGTAGGTCCTTTCATGCTCACTGAACCTTGATATAAGGCAGGCGTTACCCGAGCTGCTGCTTCTCGCCAAGGCAGAAAGCCTTGTTCTGCAACTGAAAGTTCAAGCCCCGAAACAATACTTCAAGTTGCCCTATCCTGATATGAGCGGGGGTACATTACTGCGTAACCGCAACTGTTTGATGTTTCCTAAACACATGTTGTGTCACCATAATAGCGACTGCTCGTTGGAGTCGTACAAGGCAATCTCGAAGGCATATATATCGTGGCTTGTTGGATGGACGGCACAGGTTGAAAGCCTCCGAGTCGTCCACTGACAATAAGGAGAGTCTCTTCAACGTGTTCAATCATCTTTCGGCCAGCAGTAAGCCCGGGAGGCTGCCAGGCAGATTCAAGGGTTGGTTGGTTCGAATGAAGAGTTGTGAGCCAATGGAATCCTTGCAGTCGACCGGGTAGATTTGCATTCGGCGTCATTGGCAGGCCTCACTGCATACGATATCACCTCTCGAGTTGGTGCGCGCATCGTCCCCGGGCTCCCCAGGCTTCTCAGGCTCATCCCTGCAGTTTTTGGAGAACGGCAGGCCTCAGTTACCCGCTCACTCATAGAGTTGCTGCCCAAATCCGGACTATGGAGCCTTCTGGAAGACTGATAAGGTAGCCTAGGTAGGTAGCCAGTGATGCCTTCCAAAAGCTATTTCAGTGTCAAACCTCCGCTGTGCTCATGGATCTCATCATCCGTTCAGTCGTGCAAGTCGGATGCACGCCCTTTCCAAGCAGGGGAACCCAGAAGAGATGACGAAACCGAAATATGGATGAGGAGTTTGAAGCTTCCGAGCACCCTTGGGGTGATGGACTGTCCCAGCTGAGCTTTGTCCCCAATTCGCCAGGAGTTTGGGCAGGATACCGTTTCCCCCTCCATACCGCGGTTGATGGTTTTGTTGATCCCCAAAACCTGACCGTCGGCGCATTGCGAGATGCGATTTACACGTTTGAGGAGCACGTCCCGCAGGATGCCCGCCTTTCCGACCTGGAGTCTCCAAGTCCAGACTCGACACCCGAATCCAACAGCTCTCACGATTTTGAGACCTTCACATCTGACTTTGAAGATGCTTGGCAATTCCATTCTCTGGATAACAACACTCCGGAAACTGGATTCAGCGGCTACTCTGCTGGAGATTCCGTCATTGCTGGTCCCGTGTACTCTGTGGCTTGCCCTCCGGCCAGCCACGCCCTAGGGGAGTAGTTCTCTGGAACCACGACCAACATTCTGACTGGAACGCCTCCAGTAAACGACAGCCTGCTTGAGCAACCATTACTACTAGATCCTTTTTCGGTTAACATCCTTCCCGATCTTGACATCCCGCAAGCATACACCTCTTACGACAGCAGCACCTTTTACGACAACAGCATCTCCATGCCTCACTTGTACAATTCCCAGCCCGAAGTACCGATCGCGTCTCACCACACTATGCCTCTTAGTTTCTCAGAATCCCAGACTTCCCAGACAACTTCAGACGGCAGCGACAGCGAAGGAAGCTCATCAGTAACCTCCACGAGAGACAACTACTTCCCATGCCACTGGAAGGACCCAAAGGAGCCGAACTTGCCAAAGTGCCAAAAGATCTGCAGCACGCGTGAGAAACTGAGGTGAGCCATCCAAGTTCATGGCTCTCACGTTCATTCCCTGGCGTAGCTGGGCTGACTCTCACATGCTCTACCCAACAGGAAACATCGGCTGAAGCATAGTAGGCCGAAAAACTGCACTTATTGCGACTACACCGCCGCTGGAAGAAAAGACATTGACCGCCACAAAGCTGTGCATCACCCCAATGAAGCCAGCGAGGAAGGCGTTAACAAGAGACAAAGTGTCTGCCCACTTTGTGGCCAGAAAGGCCGGTACGATAATATAAAGCGACATATCAGAACGCGACACAAGGGGAAGATCTGAATCGTTCTGTTTAGGGATCGGTGGCTGGTTCAAGAGGAGCTTACGTCTGTTTTCTTTTCTCTTTTCTCTTTTCGTCCCTGTTATCTCGCTGTATCTGCTGCTTCCTTCTTTTTGCTCCGGGTGCTGTTGCTTTCTGGATTGTTCTTGCTATAAGGTATAGCTACTACGAGTACTAGTAGGTGTCCATCACATCATATATAATACCATCCATGTCTTCGACCTTTTGCTCTTATCCATCGCCTCTAATCATGTTGACGTTCTGACAAAGACAGCAAGCACGGCCGCATGGGTCGCTGTGGCGATCATGGTCTCGATGTTGAAGGCTTTGAAGAACATGAACAAGAAGGCAGCGAACAACAGCACCGAAGCGGACACCGTGCAAAGGCTCTTGATGAGATTGACCTCGGGAAGTCTCATGATGAGCTTGGGCCCAACAAAGAGAGATCCGCCCAGAAAAGCAAGTAGGAGGCGGGCGAGGATGTCGACAAACGGAGACACCTTCCCCGGCGCTTCGCCGTTCAGGTGCTCAACATCTCGCCATCGCACTTCAAATTTGGGGGAATGAGGAGTTTGGTGAGGAGAGTATAGTGCTTCGTAAGAGGTTTGAGGTGATTTTTCCGAGGAAAGGGGACAAAGAGGGGAGGAGGTGGTGGATTGATACAAAGGGTGGCGAAGGCGGGGATGGGGCAGAAGGACAGGCAGGGAAATATGTAGGTAGGTAGTCAGTCGCATTGGGCTCAGGTTTTTTTGGTATTGATCGATGACTTCTCAACTTGCTGGCGATATACTGTGCCTTTTTATCTCGTCTCATATGTTACGCTACCCAAAACGTTCCGTGCAGTTACCCAAACCCTCTTCCTATTCCCCTTATTCAACCTCAGCGTCCTCTTCTTCCTCTTCTTCCTCTTCTTCCTCTTCTTCCTCTTCTTCCTCTTC